GACTCTACACTATAAATAAAATCCACTTTAACAGCTGGTATTCACATAAAAATCCCTAACAAGGATATCTAATGACCCAGAAAGGAAAAAAAGGAAGAAAATAACCACAGAGTAAGATTGCTTTTTCTAATTAAACATCCAAAAAAATAAAATGAAAGAAACAGAAGAAAATTGCATGCGTTGATTACCTGCTGATTTTAGGCCTGTCTCACCCAGAGGGCATTTGAACCTAGGGAAACTACTTTAGCTACCAGGTGTATATGGTGGATCAAATGAGTCCTTAGGAAGTCAGGAGTGCAAGAATGATGGGGCCAAAAGTAAATTAAGAAGCAAGAGGCACACTGGTCTGTAGCTTAATGGATATTACACTTCCCTGATAGTGGAAGTCTTCTAGGGTTCTGATTCATGCTCCCAAGACTGTTTATGTGTTTTACATTAGACCACCATTGTTTATAAAAGAGAAACAGGCCTACAAAGAAAGCAAGAAGGAGCATGCCTCTGAAGTCTAGAGGCAAGCTCTGCTAGCAGAGTTCAGTCATTTTACAGAGGCGACTTCACCCACAAGTGATCATAAGAAAGTAGGGCTGGAAGGAACCTCACAAAATCATAATTCAGCCCCCTGCTCAAGGCAGGATTATTCCTGAATAGGCCACCCTAGCTAAGGGCCTTGTTACACATTACACTGTAAGCCACACAAATGTTGATTGGCTTAGTGCTGGCTTGCAGCCTCACCTTCAATTTGGGTGGCACATCTGTGGGGAGTGTCCACACCTTAATAGAACAGAAACTGGATTATGCAGATGAAGAGATAATCCTACCCTGAAGTGGCTTAATTTTCAGATGCATAAGAAGTGTTTTAAACCAATTAAAGGTGTTAACATGAGGACAATCTAGGGGTTAAGAGCTCTAGGAGCCACCCGAAATTAATGTGCAACAAGGCTCTAAGTATCTGGCTCACCTGCTCTTGAAAATGTTGAAGGATGGAGCTTCTACAAATTCTTTATGTAGCCTGTTCCAATGTTCAACCACTGTCATAATCAGAAAGTTTCTCCAGTCTTCTACCTAAATTTCCTTTACGGATGCCTGAAGCCATTGCTTCTGTCTTCTACGGGCATAGAGGACTAAGCAACAAATCTCTAGTCCCTCTGTAATCGCCCTTCAGGTATTTGAAGACTGTTACCAAATCCTCCCTCAATCTTCTCTTCTCCAGACTAAATTGATTGTGTTGAAAATTAAAATACACCCTGATTTCTTTCTTCTACTGCTTTTAGGTGCTGGGAACAGAGAACTCCTCTGCAGGTAGTGGGGAAACTAAAATGCAACAGATCTAGCTCTGCTCACAATTCTGACAGTAGATTTCTGCTGGAATTGGAGGAACCAGGTACAGCTAAGAGGCTGTGTACTTCAGGAACATCTGACTTATAACAAAGGGCTGAAGGTCAGTGCTTGGACTTCCTACCAATTCTCTAGCATGATTTGTTCTCTATCCTGTGAAGCTATGAAATCTTCTCTAAAATAGGTACTGGTGCCAAAGGCATCACCTACTTCACCTAGCAAGGTCAAATGTAAACCAGAGGAGGTTCTGGTGAGGAATTGAGCAAAGAGAAAGAATTAATTCTGTTTTATAACCCCCTGCATGATGGCAGCAACAGAGGAATATACCACTATTATTATGCCATTGCAGTCATATAATGGGGGAAAAGTTTACAATGAAAAATCAGTTATCATCATTTTGGTCAACGTTTGGAGATGAGCCTTAAACAAAACCTGAGATCAAAGGACATTTGCATTTTGGAATAATTTTGAATTTGAACCCATATCCAAAGCTTGCAGCTCAATCTATTTTAAGAGTTCTTTAATAATCATTTTTTACAGTGTTGAAAAACTGCATGTACAGTTTCATGCCTTACAGTTAACCAAGGGATATCACACTCTCATACTGAACTGTCTATGCTCACCCTATCTCATTTCTTATGTAATGCACTTCCATTAATAATGGCAGATTTGTCCAGTGCTTATGTGATTGCTGCTTTGAAGTGTATGAATGAAGGTCTTTTTTTCCCCTACAGAGTATCTTTCTGTCCAAAATGTATTTTAACATATTGTGGGCACAAAGCTAGATGAGAGAATGTATATATTCCCTTAAAAATGTTTACTTAACCACAATAAAAGGTTATGTGGATTTCCCAAGTGAACTAAGCTACAATACCTGTTATAATGTGACAATTTAACCCCTCTTTCAACTTGGCTTCTACTCATTTATCATGTTTGATCCAACAGTCAAAAGTTTTTTCTTAGCACTACTTCAGAAAGAATGTAGATTTTTTTTCAATAGTAAATTATGAATGAGCATTATGAATGAGCACTACTGAAATAAAATACAGAAAGAGAAAGAAAAAGAATATTTAGATGATGGCTGATCTAAAATAAATTTTATTTAAAAAGTGTGTCTTCATTAGCATATGCACTTTAAATATAATAAATTCCTTTCATCCTCTCTGGTAGGACCCAGAGAGTTTTGATTGACAGAACTGAGTCAACATGGCAGAAGGTGACTAGTGGTGTCCCTCAGCGTTCAGTACTCAGACCAGTGCTTTTCAACATGTTCATCAATTATTTGGATTCAGGTATTAAAAGTGAACTGACAAAGTTTGCTGACAACACCAAACTATGGGGGAGTGTGGTCACTCTCGAGGACAGGTTGACAATACAGGCCAAACTAGACAGGCTTGTGAGGTGGGCGGATCTCAACCAAATGATGTTTAATACGAAGAAATGTAAAGTGCTCCATCTGGGGAGAAAAAATCTGTAACACACTGACAGGCTCAGCAGTGCTACGCTTGCCAGCACCACAACTGAATGAAACCTGGGTGCTGTAATAGACCACAAAATGAACATGAGCCACCAATGTGATGCCTTAGC